ACCTTCTCTAACTTCACCAGGGAGAAGACCAACAGCTATGGCCCAAAGCTAATTTCTATGAGATGGAGGTCAGATATGCCACCATCCTCCAACCTTCTTACCAATTCTGACACCAACTGTTCCTCCCACAGCCCTCTGCTGAGTTCGACAATTCATTGCAGTGGCCACACCGAACTCAGACAATACTCAAGATTACGGAGTTTATTAGAGAAGTAACAGGTTACAATTCAGGATCAGGAATGCTCTGCATACAGTTCTTGGATCAGGACAGCCTCCCCTTAACCGTGCCCAAAGGCAGGTCTCTGGCCCTCGGCCTCTTGACCTGGCCTTTGCCCTGCTTGCGTAAGTATTATAAAGCTCTTTTAGCTCTGCCAATAGAGGTATCCTACTCCACCAGTAAGCTTTGGCCTGGAGGCACTCAGCTTTCTTACTCCATGGACCAGGAAGCCCACTGCTCTCCTTGTGCTAGTGTCTTGATTTTTGCTGCCTCTGCTGCCACTGTTTCTCTGCTGCTGCTTATAACCATCTCTCATGGTCTCAGCAAAGTGTTATAATGCTCTGTCTCCTGGGCTGAGGAGGTTCAGCACAGGATCTCTGGTCTAAAGGATACATTCCACTCCTAGCTCTTGTTTCTTGATGGTAGTGAAATCCCCCTTTCCCACCTCTGGGATAGCTTATTTTAAGCCGAGCTAGATAGTAAAACTGACCAATCCCCAAGTTAGGGTTCCATACACCTTATTTGCATGGTCCCTCCCCAATCAAGGGTGCTATGCACCTTATTTACATTATTAACAAGCTATCCAATCCCCTTGGTGTGCCACAAGCACCTCACATTTGCATAGTACTACCTAATCATCTTTAGTAATCTACTTCCATAAAGATACCGCCTCGGAAACCCAAGAAGGGGTTGCTATGAGTCTGGCTCGACTCGACAGCAGTAAGTTTTTGTTTTTTACCCAATCATCTAGTGAGAGTCACAAAGACCATGGCTAGAAGGGACATACCAAGCAATTCACTGCATCACACATAAAAATACAGTTATAACGTTTTGATGTGTGATGCAAAGTTATTATGAACTATCATATGTACCTCAAATTTTTAATACAGTAGGCTTTATGAGGGTCGGTTGTACATAAATTGGATGTTTATAACCTGGGGACTGCCTGTAGTTCAAAAATCTCTGTCTTAGAAAGCCTTTCACTCCTGAGGCTTCTCAATCATTTCACTGCCTATGACCTGTTCCTCTCTCTTCTTGTTTTTCATGGCCAACATATAACTGGTCTTTTTGCTTAAAAACAGCCCAAATCATCAAAAAATGCAAAGTTCCACTCTGTTACTACTGGAGATTTTATGTTTATTGTTACTGAACAGACGGTTTAACAACTTCTAGGTGGCAGCACTGGAAACCACATAATTGCAAGCAATTTTTCCACCCAAAAATGTGTTTTCAAAAGTTAGGGACTTCTGGTTTCTGATCTGGTGGGTAAGTCATCCTTCCTGTCCTCACAACAAGAAAAATGTTGAAAATCATTTTAGATCCATCAGAGAACTGAAGTTATAAAGCAAAAAAAGTTGGAAAGACAGCCTCCTAGAGAATCACCACTTAGCTTACTGGGAGCAGAGACCTCCACTACTGCTGCTGATCTCCACCACCACCGCAGCCACCAGACCCACTGTCCAGTAAAAAAGAAAAAAAAAAAAACAAACTCATTGCCATCAAGTCGACTCTGAATCACAGCGGCCCCCTGCATTTCCAAGGCAGTAAATCTTTACAGAAGTAGATTGCCAAGTCTTCCTTCCATAGAGTGGCTGGTGGATTTGAACCACCAACCTTCTGGTTAGCAGTCAAATGCCTTAGGCACTATGCCACCAGAGCTCCTTGTAGCAGTACTTAAATGGTGACTGGTTAATTGTTGGAGACTCAAAGTGGACTGGTGTGAAAGGGAAAGAATTCCAGGAGGCCTAACTTCACTGAGCCCCACCATATTTTAACTGTGAAGAAGCCTGGATGAAAAATCTGCTGTGCCTATGCCTTTACCACAACCTAAACCTCTACCAGGGGAGGGGAAAAATAAACATTTTTAAATAGTGCTCTGTTCTCCTTGACAAAGATCTGTCCTGAAGGGAAATTGCTTTACCAGAGCCTAGCCAACTTGGGTTTTATCACTAACCATAGGGAAGGTCCCTGAGAGCTGCAAATGATTTTTACCTAAGGATTGGTGGTTTTAACCCACTCAATGGTACCACAGAAGAAAGGCCTGGTGATTGGCTTCTGTAAAGATTACAGTCAAGAACCCTATGGAATAGTTCTGCTCTGTAACATATGGGGTTGTCATGAGTCAAATCAACTTGACAGCAATAGGTTTGTTGTTGTTCTTACATGTCTTCGAGTCAGACCTGACTCACAGCAACCCTTCCTTGGGTTTCTGAGGTGGTATCACTATGGAAGTAGATTGCCCAACCTTCCTTCCGAGGAGTGGCTGGTGGATTTGAACCGCTAGCTTTCTGGTTAGCAGTCAAGTACTCCAGGTTTTTTTTCTTTTGGTTAATTTACTGGGTGCTGCAACTGGTTAAGTGTTCAACTACTCATTGAAAAGTTAGCAATTTGAATGCACCCAGAGTTGTCTTGGATGTAAAGCTTGGCAATCTGCTTCTGAAAGATCACAACCTTGAAAAGCCTATAGAGTGCAGTTCAACTGTGCACACTTCTTCTTTTTTTTTTTAACTGATTTGGAGGTACACTGGTGGTTCAGTGGCTCAATTCTCACCTCCCATGTAGGAGGCCTGGGTTTGAATCCTTGCCAATACTCCTCATGCTATGATACTGTAGGGATGTCAACAGACTTTCCAGATTAAGATGGACTAGGAAGAAAGGCCTGGTGATCTACTTCTGAAAATCAGCCAGTGAAAATGTTATGGGTTACAACAGTCTGATGCCCAACTGATCACAGGGATGGTGCAGGAACTGGGCAGCATTTTGCTCTGCTATGCATGGGGTCACCTTGAGTTCGGGGTCAACTTGACTACCGCTAACAACAAACTTTGAAGTGGGGAAATATCGAGCTCCAGCCACATCTAGCCTTCCACATGGAGGAGAACTGCCAAATTTCAGCTTCCTTCTAACTTTCAACATGGAGAGAAAAGAAATACCCAACTCCAGGTCCTTCTAGCCTTCTTGTTTCACATAAAGGATGGGGGAAAGGGGCAAAAGTTAAGAAGCATCTGTGAAGGTCACAACTCAGGGGCACAGGCTCACTAAAATACTGAAACCTAGTCACAGGATAGAACGTTTCCCCTTCTCCCACACTTAACACTACATCAACAGCAACATAACTTTACAACTGAAAGCACTTTAGTTCCTCTTACCTTATATACCATGCTCAATTTCCAACAAAAAATTACAAGACATACTAAAAGGCAAAAACCACAGTCTGAAGCGTCTGTGCAAATGTAAGAACCAGACTCAGATATGGCAGAGATGAACAGATCAGGAATTTAAAGGAACTGATTAATATGGTAAAGGCTCTAATGGAAAACACAACATGCAAGACCATAATAATAACCTAAGCAGAGAGAATGGAACACTGAGAAATACTCAAAGGGGAATGTCAAAAACACTGCAACAGAAATTAAGAATGCCTTGATTAGCTCAAAATAGACGGGACACAGCCAAGGAAAGAATCAGTGAGTTTGAAGATATGTCAGCAGAAACTTCTCAAACTGAAAAGCAAAGAGAAACTAGACTTTGGGGGTGGGGGGTAGGGAGTGGGATAGAATATTCAAAAATCGTGCGCCAAATTATAAAAGGTATGACGGGAACACTAGGAGAAGCGAGAAAGGAATAGAATATTTGAAATAATAATGGCTGAGAATTTTCCTAAATTATCGACACTACACCACAGATCCAGGAATCTCAGAGAACACCAAGAAGGATATATTACCAAAAATCGACACCTAGGCTTATCATTTTCAAACTGCAGAAATCAAAGAGAAAGAAAAAAATCTTGAAAGAAACCAGAGGACAAGTTACAGTGCAGGGGCTGGTTGCAGATAGGGGGTGAATCTAAGAATTATGAAAACCTTTGTTTCCTGACTTTGTAAAGACAGAATAATGTGGATTAGTAGCAAATGTTAGGGGAAAATATGTCTAAAAACTAACAAGGTTCAACGGATCTTTCTCAGTTTTTGTGACCTAAGAAATGAACAGTGGATAGAGTGCATGATTTGGAGTCAGAAGCAAGTTCTGGGTCCAATGGTTTTGGGCGAGTTACTTAATGCGTCCTTTAAAGCTTGAATTCCTAATCTATAAACATGGTTACAGAGATCTCCCGCACAATACGGATTTAAGCAACACACAATACTATAATTTACAAATTGCAAAGCCAAGAAGTCATGAAAGCATTAAGTAAAAGCCTAGAAAACAGGATACTTAGTGAGGCCAAGCGTGACCACAAAACCTTAAGGTAATCACTTCCACCAACCGCAGGACGCGGTACAGCCGACCTCAAATCCCAACAGCCTCTGCGGAGCTGTGAAGCTTGTCCTCAGATCCGAGGCGCCCCCGCCACGACTCTACGCATGCGCCTCTCGCCTCTTGTGGTCCCGAAAAGCTTCGAGATGTTAAGAGATTCAGAAATGGAGGCTAGAGTCACGCCCCGAGCCTTCCGAAGTTTGACTTCTTACCTGCTTGGCATAGGCCGCCGCCTCCTGCTACTCCCGCCTCCTCTGACACTCTAACTCCAAGACTGGAGGAGCTGAAAAGAGTGCACGGTCCTGATTGGACAAAAGATATGTTTACATTCTGCCTCACCTTGAGCGCGGGCTGATTTTGCCTCGCCTGTTCCTTCCCGCTATTTAAAGCGGTTGGTTGCCCTCCTGTCAGTCAGAGGAGAGGTCCAACAATTGGCTCGCGAGGGTCTGTCTCCGAGGTTTCCTTCTCTAGGTGACCTGTGTCAACTTGGCTGTCGGCTGCGAAAGTGCCTGGAACTTTTAGGTAGAAGATGTCAGGAAGTGATTTCGCAGAGCGCGGCGACAGGAGTGAGGAGCAAGTGTCGGGTGCTAAAGTCGTAGCCCAGGCCCTGAAAACACAAGTACGATCTATCTAACTGGGGCTGACGGAAGGTTCTTACGGAAGCCGGCGAGGGCTAGGGGTTGTCTTGGAAACGAGGCGAGCGGGAGGTGGTTTGCGGCCGGGTTGTTTTTTTAGTACCCCGGGAAGAGCGAAGGATGTGGCAGGCTCCGGGCGTTTATTCCTGTCTTCTTCGACCTCCAGGATGTGGAATACATATTTGGTATCGTAGGTATCCCAGTGACCGAAATCGCCATCGCCGCGCAGAGTCTGGGCATCAAGTACATAGGAATGAGAAATGAGCAAGCGGTGAGTATTGGACGCAGAGAGTTAAATCCGTTATTGGGAATAATCAGTAATGATGGCAAATATTAATTGTAGCCATTTAGATAGCCCTTACCACTGTTCTTGTCCTTTACACATATTAATCACAAGAATCCTATTAGGCTAGAATTGTTGTTAATCTTAGTTGAGAGATGAGAAGTGAGATAGATTAAGTTACTTGCACAAGGTGACAACACTGGTAGCGGCAGAGCCAGCATTTGAACCCAGGAGTTGTAGATCAAGAGTCCATGCTCTTAACCATTGTGCTGCGTCGTGTTCTTCAAAGTCCAGAGTGTCAGAGTTGGAAGGGACAATTTCCCAGTCCGAATCCAAACCTCTTATAATTTCCTTATCACTTTGCACAACTACTTGTCATTATATGTCTATTTCAGTGTGTTATTTGTGTATGGTCCTCGTTAGGCTGTGAGCTCCAAGAAGAGCAGGGAGGTTATTTCTTCTCTGCTAGCTAGTAGTATTCCCAGTGCTTAGAAGGATGCCTGCAGAATGAATGAGTGACTTTCTTGTTATATAGTAGGTGGCTTGGCTAGTTGAAGGATGTCACAAATGGTAAAGGCACAGTTGGAACTCAAATGTCCCAAATCCCTGTCCAGTGCTCTTTCTACTACATCACACTGCCACCTTTATCAGTGGCTTATTTGGAAGTTTGGGAAAGGAAGATAAGACTTTTTGTCAGCTCAGTCTCAGTGTTTCCCTGTCAACCCAGACTCACCCTTCTTTCAGCAAGCCTGGCTTAAAAGATCACATTTTCATATTTGTGCAGCCTGTCTGCGGTTAAGTAGTCCTGCTTTTCACTCACACTGTTGCACTCTAATTCAGGCTCTTGCTATGCCTTGACCTCCGTCAGATGTGTGCCTCTGGAGAGTTGGGATCATGGTTCATTTGTTGTTCTATCCCTTACAGTACCTGGCTTAATTGGGGCTTCTGCTGATATAAATACTTAATACATTTTAAAATAATTGAATGACATTCTTTATTTACAAGGTGAGAGAATTTTTTTTTTTTTTTTTTTTAACCTTCAAACTAACAGGTCTTAAGTTTCTGTTGCTTCTATCTTTTATTAGTTGGGACAACATTCTTTCATCTGAATGGAAAGATGAAGCTATTGATGTATTAATGGGGCCTATATTTTACTATTATTCTAGAGGTAGGAGATATGCCACTGGTTAGTTCTTCATACAGCAGACATTTAATGTTGTTGTTATTTGCCATCGAGTTGGACCCGACTCATAGCGACCCCTCCTTGGGTTTTTGGGGTGGTATCACTAAGGAAATAGATTGCCCAACCTTCCTCCTGACGAGTGGCTAGTGGGTTTGAACCGCCAGTCTTCTGGTTAGCAGTGCTTTAGGCACTACGCTACCTGAGCAAATATTATTTAGTAGGTATTGTGCTACTTAACTGTGGAAGAGAGGGTATATGAAGAAGGAATGAGATAATCTTGACTTTGAAGTTGATCAAAGTTTAAGAGGGTGAGAAGGCATACAGAAAAAATTTATCTAGCATAATAACTCTCACAATGTACGTATAAGGAAGAGTAGTAGCACTGAGGGAGTGATCAATACTCTAAGAGTGAGATGAAGAAGATTGCCTGTAGAGGTAATGTTTGTTCATGCTGGTCCATCACAGTATCTCGAAACCATGGTGGTCTATGAGATTGGATAGGTAGGCTGAGGGGGGGAGTACAGAGAATCTTCTCTACCTGGAAGAGGAATTTGGACTTTATTCAATAGACAAAGGAGAGACTTTGTTTTTTCTCCTAAAAAAAAACCTGTTTTTCTAAACAGGTGGGAGATTTGTACCTAAGCAAGATGATCTTGTAAGGAGGTCTGGTGGCACAGTGCCTAAGGCATTTGCCTACTAACCAGAAGCGTGGTAGTTCAAACACCCCAGCTGCTTCACAGAAGGAAGACGGGGCAATCTACTTCCATAAAGATTTACTGCCTCAGAAACCCAGTGGAGGTTGCTGTGAGTTGGAATTGACTCAATGGAAGTGAGTATAGGGTGTTTTTTTTTTCAGGGTGGCACAAGTGGTTTGTGTTTGTCAACTAATCTAAAAGTTGGTGCTTCAATCCTTTGAGCAATATCATGGAAGAAAGGTCTGGCAGTCTACCTCCATAAAGATTATAGCCAAGAAAACCCTGAAGAGCAGTTCTACTCTAACACATGGTGTTGCCATGAGTGAGAATAAACTCAGTGACAATGAGTTTGTTTTTTGTTTTTAATAGATTATGGATTAGAGGTGAGGAGCTAGAAGAAAGAATTCAGCTTAAAGTTTTATTTCAATCCCTGTAAACTTAGTTGGAGGATCCCTGGATGGTGCAAATGATTAAGCGTTCACCTCCTAGTTGAAAAATTGGGATTTTGAAATTACCCAGAGATGCCTTGAAAGACAAGCCTGGAGATCTTCTTCTGAAAGGTCATAGCCTTGAAAACCATACAGAGCAGTTCTACTCTGCACATATGGGGTCCCATGAGTTGAAATTGACTTAATGGTAACTGATGACAATAATAAAGTTAGTTGAGGGATCCCCATGTCCCATGTGTTATGTTGGATACTGGATATAGAGATGAATGAAATATAGTTCTTGTCCTTAACAGGCTAATAACCTACCTGTAAAGACAGACACAGAAAGTTTCACTCTCATGTGTAAAGTGTTGTGAAAGAAGTATGTCCAGGGTGCTGTGGGGAGCGCAGACAAGGGGCACTCGGCTCAGCCTAAGATTTCAGGGAAAGCTTTCCAGAGGAGATGATGCCTGAGCTATCTTTTTTTTTTTTTTT